CTCTTCATCTGTAAAATGGGAGGAATGGTAATGCCCACCACTCCTGGGTCCCACTGGGTTGAACAACTCAGAGAAGGCAAAGTGTGGGGCCGGGGACTACTCAGTGGGGTTAAGCATTCTAATCTCTGTTACTCTACCATAGCTGGCGCAGATTACATCTGGAGGGCAAGGCTAACAGTGTTGGGGCTGCTGCGCTCCAGGGACAGGATAAAGTGCTTAATGCATGCGCATTAGCTTAATTCTCACCACAACCCTTGAGAATTACCTCCGCTTTGGGGACCAGGGTGCTGACTAAGGGAGGGGACGCACTTGTCCACAGTCACATGCAGCATTGTGGCACCCATCCCCTTGTGGCTTGTTCAGCTCTCCCCAGGCCACCCTGAGCCAAGCTGGCAGGTGAACCCGAAGGGTGGCCCACAGTGCAGCGTTCCCCTCCCTCCCCCTCCAGCGTGGCTCCAGTGCTGCGTCATCACAGCCTGTTGCGGAGTTATAAACGGATATTTGTACTGAGCTATTTTTTTGCCACTTGGCACTGTGTTGGTATTTTTAATTAGCTTTTGATAAGGCATTTATAGTTTTTAATTAAAGGGGGAAGAGGGAGGGAAAAAAAAACCCCTCTCACCGTCAGATAGATAGAGCGTGCATGTGAATGTGAATATGGGCTCAGCTCTGCGGAGATCTGGGTGAGGGGTTTCAAAGGGACCGCCTGCCTCGTCCCTCCCCGGCCCTCTCCATCCCAAGTTTGGGCTGCTTGTGGCCTTTTCCTTCTTGATTCCTGTCTTATCAGTCTGAATGCCTGGGTTGGGAGAACGTGAGGGTGCCATGAAAAGGTGGCTTAAATAACAGAAAATTTATTGTCTCACCTTCTGGAGGCCAGAAGTCTGGGGTCAGGGTGCTGGGTGGGCACTGCTCCTTCTGCAGGTGCCGGGGAAAGATCTGTCCAGGTCTCCCTCCTAGGTCATTCCTTGGCTTGTGGCAGCAGAACTCCCATCCTCACATGGTGTTCTTCCTATGTGTGTGTCTGTGCCCAAATTTCCCCCTTTTATAAGGACATCGCTCATTTTGGATTAGGGGCCCACTCTACTCCAGTATGACCTCATCTTAACTAATTACATCTGCAATGACCCTGTTTCCAAATAAGGTCACATTCTGAGGTATTGGGGATTAGGACTTCAGCTTAAAGATTTTGGGGGGACACAATTCAACCTGTAACAGAGGTTTTGGGTCTGACCATTGGCTTTCACCTTGGGGTTGGAGCCTGGTAGTTTGTCAGAAGCAGAAGAGCCATTGGGGACATTGGACTCCAGGCCCTCATTTTCTGGATGGGAAGAGACTGCCCAAAGTCCCATGGTTGAGCTGAGACCTGAACCCAGGTATCCTGCCTCGCTGGCCAGAGCCTCCTCCAGACGTGAGGGGCTTTGGCTTGTCCAAACAGAGATGAAGCGATGGGGCCTGGAGGAGAAGGTTGAGCTGTTCCACCAGCTTTCCTGCCTTGAAAACATCTGCCCACCTGATATTTATTGAGCACCTACTATGCGCCTCAGATACAGTAGTGAGCAGAATGGACGTGTCTCCTGCCCTCGTGGAGTTTATGGTCTATAGAGGGGTACAGACTTGGTCAAGTAAACAAGCAGGAAGCATAATAAGATTACACACATCGTGCTGAGGGACCCTAAGGGAAGGAATGGGGTGTCACACGAGAGCCTGCCACCTGAGTGTGGGTTGGGTGGATGGCAAAGGCCTCTCCAAGGAGGGGGATCCTGAAGCTGAGGGCTGAAGGAGAAGCAGCCAGGCAAGGGAAGACTTGGGGAACGGTGTTCTCGGCAGTGGAACAGCACATGCAATGGCCCGGAGGCAGGAGAGTGGGTGGTCTGGTGGGTGGTCCCCAGAGAGGAGGCTGTTGTGCTGGATGGTAGCCAGAAGGGGAAGTGGTACTAGGCAAGGTCCAGGGGCAGACAGGGATCCCTCTGGCTGGAAGACGGGAGTGAAGGCAGGGAGACTGTCTGGGAGGCTGGGACAGCCACTGGGCAGAGGAATCTGGGGTCACCTTCCCCATGAGCCCACTCTCTGGGCGTTGTGTTTGGATGTGCTCAAGGAGGCCTCTAGGAAAGATATTGGCCTTGCCTGGCGCCCCACTCCCACCCCATGGTGTCCTTCAGACATGGCCTGGGCAGGAAGTGGGGCTCTCGTGACCTGCTGCACAGTGTGGGGTGGCTGGATTCCTCCCCATTGTCCTTCTCCTGGGCCTTGTGTGGCTGGGTCTGGAATCATCACCCTGGCTATGACCAGCTGTGGGGCCAGCATCAGCCTTGCCTATGACCAGCTGTGGGGCCAGCATCAGCCTTGCCCTCCTTTGGATTCACCAAGGCCTCGGATACCCCTCAGATACCCCTACTGCATCCCAGCGCCAGAACAGGAGCTGGGGCTGAGCCTGGGTCAGCCTTGGGCCCTGTGCCCCTCAGAACCCACCCTGTGCCCCCTGGTGGCCTGGAGGCAGGGGATTGTGGATAATCCACACCCCTTTTCATTGTCTTGGAGCGGGTATTAGATGAGATACTTGCAAATGTTTGTAGCAGTGTGACAGGCTTACTGCCCTGCCTGGGTTTGGCTAAGCCAATTCTTGTTAAAGCTGGTGTTCCTGGTAGGACCATACATATTAGTCCTGGAGAACCTGTGGAATAGTAACCAGGAGTGGGCCTGTGAGGACTCTAAGCTGACCAGGCCACGTGAAGTCATTCACAGATTGTCAGAGCTGGGGAAGCCTCAGAGTCCAGCCTCCAGCAACAGAAGGGGAAACTGAGGCCAGGAGCAGTGTGGCCATGGCAGTCACTCTGCTGCTCCCAGGAGTCTCTGCTTATCTGCATTCATTCATTCATTCTCTCACCAAGTATGTATTGAGTGCCCACGGAGTGCCAGGCACTGTGCAGGGTTCTGGGACCCAGAGCTGAGCCAGGCGGCCGCTGTCCCTGCCCACATGTTGTCTGGTCCTGTGTTTGAGCAGAGCTACCTGGCACCTCTGCTGCATCTGAGCAGACATAGGAGCATTGCCAGGCCTTGGGTTGGGCTGTAGGAATGTCCCTGCTTGGACAGTGGGGAGGTGGGCCAGGGTCATCCCCTCGAGGAGGCAGATGATGTAATGGGAAAGGGGTGGGCTGCCTGGGATGGAGTCCCAGCCGTGAGGGTTTGGGCCTGTTGCTCTGCCTCTCTGAGCCTCAGTTTACTCACTTGTGAACTGGGGGTGCAGACAGCCCCACGCTGCAGAACGGTTGTGAAGGTTAGATGTGGTCATTCACACAAAACCTGGCCTGGAGTATAGTGACTCGCACTCGTTCCCTTGATCCTCGTAGTCATCGTGACTGCCATTACTTACTGTTATGTACCAGGCNACTCGTTCCCTTGATCCTCGTAGTCATCGTGACTGCCATTACTTACTGTTATGTACCAGGCAGGGGCTGCCCTTTGGGCCCCTCTCAGCCTTGATGACTTTCACTCTGTGTCCTGCCTTCTGGCTCCAGCTGGCTCTGGATCCCTGAGGGACCAGCGGGCTTTCCCCCCTGCAGGCTGGGGGAGGGGGACGCCAGCCTTCTGAAGGTGCCTTTGCTGAGACAGGGCCTTCATCTCCCTCCGTCTGGCTGAGAGAGCTGGCGCTGGAACCAGATGAATGGACTGTCATGCAGGGCAGGTGTGTGCGTGCATGCACGCTCCGGAATGTGGGTGTGCTTCCGCACGGCTGCTGGAGGGTAAGGCAAGGAGGTGGGTGGAAAGCGCGCAGCCCCCACCAGGCAGTGGAGGCTCGTGCCCTGCCCAGAGCTCCCAGTGAGTGAGTTTATAACAGAATCAAGGCACGTAAGCGCTGGGAAGAACTTTAGAAGACAAAGTTCTGTCCCCTCATGGTGCAGATGGGAAAACTGAGTCCCAGCAAGGGAAAGCCTCTTGGTCAGGGTCCCACCAGGGGCCCTCTAATCGGGGATTCCTGTCCTGTGTCCCTTCTGATATAGCAGCATCAACATTATTAAATTGCAGTGCAGTTTATCATTCTGCCCTGGAGTCAGGACTTCTCAGAGGATATCTGGAGACTCTCAGCAAATGGGGGAGGAGTGGGCAGCGCACAGGTGACCCTCAGAGACTTCAGGCCATAGCCCATCCCCCAGACAGCCATGATGATGGATGCTGTAGTCCAGGGTAGAGGTGCAAGGGCTCTGGGGGCCATCCCTGCTGTGACCACGGGGTGGAGCCCCCATTTCCCAGTTATCGGGGTATCATCAGGGTGCTTCCTCCCTGAGAGGGGTCCCGGCCCCCATCTTAGCCACAGCCGTAGAAGATCCAGCTTCTGACCACAAACACTACTCACCTCTGGCCACTGGGGGGTGCTCAAAGCCTTGCATTTTCTGGGCTCTGGTGTCTTGGGGGGGGGTCAGCATCCCTGGAGGAGGCCTGGCTGCCCTCTGGTCACTCACCCCTCCTGGACACCAGTCTTAGTTGCAGAACCTTTCAGAAACCCCAGAAAGCAGCAGGGGTTGAAGAAGGAGGCCAGGACCAGAGTCAGACACAGCTGAGTTCATCCTGTTTGGCCCGTCACTTCTTGGGTGGCTTTGCACAAGTTCTCAGCTCTCCAGGTCTCTGTTGTCACATTGGTTAAGTGGAGTCAACACCTGCTTCCACAGGCTGCTGTGTGTGGCAGGTGACAACAGTAAAAGCCAATGAGCACGGACTACTTTTTAGCTCTGTGAATTGGGGTAGTTGTTTCCACACACTGTGTCTCAGGGGACTCGCTTATAAAACAAGGACAATAACGGCATCTACCACGCAGGCTTGTCCGGAGTTAAGGAAGTAACTCACGGAAAGAGTGCCAGTGTGCGGATATGTAACAGTATGTAGCAACTGCTGTCGAGGCACCTGTGCCACGTGTTCTCTATGTGCCTCCCTGCAGCATCCAGAGAGGCGTAGCTCTGGTTATCACGCCCAGTTTACAGATGAGAAAACTGAGGCTCAGAGATGTGAAGTCCCCTGTCCAAGTTCATGCAGAAGTTCAGGGGCCACAGACTGCTCTGGCCCAGCCTGCTTCCCATGTACTTATGCTCATGGGCTGGAAAGAGTGGGTTGTGTGTTGGGAGGGGGGTCCAGTTCCTGTTCCCCAACTTCTTAGCTGAGCTGGGAGCCTGTTGTTTTTAAGTAGGGCAGAAGAAGGACAGGAGGGGAATCTGGTTTGCAGGTGAAGGAGGGTAAAGAGACAGGGAAAACTGGGATGAAGCCTGGCCTGGGGTGGGGAGTGGGAGGGGAGAATGGTCCATCATATACCCTGGTGACCCCTCCAGCTTTGGAGAAAGCTGTGCCCCATCATGCCACCCGGCTGCTGGTTTGGAGAGGGAGGGTCTGTCTGGTGACCTAATGGAGGTGGGTGGAGGGGAATAGAGCACTTGTCAGCCAGCAGCCGGCTCCATCCTGCCTCCCAGACCCCAGCCACTGCTGCCTGTCTCTCCAGGGTGTGCCACACCCAGGCTGCCCTAGGTTGGGCCCCAGCTTCCTCCTCTGCCCTCTTTCTCACCTGGCCTCCTGACAAGACAAAGCAGCCCGTGGGCTTCTGTGGGGCATTGGGTGTGACCAGAGGAAAACCAATCTCCATAGACAGTGCTTAGATGTCATGGAAAATGGATGTTGGGTGATCTCAGCATCCCTGGGGGAGAGGGGAGAACCTCATTTAGTGCCCGGCCAGGTCCCTCAGTCAGGGATGGCAGACTAGGGAGTGACTGCCTCCCAGAAATTCCTCCTGTATCTGGAGGCAGTGGTGTCACTGGGGGGAGGAAGAAATCTTAGCAAAGAGATCAGAGATCTCGGTAAAGTTGACAGTCCCCTAGGAATAGGCAAGATCCATGAGAAGTCAAGATTCCGTCTAGATAAGCTGTGCAAGAAACGTCCTCAGAGACAATCTTGTTAACACCACCCTGTCCCATTTTACATCTGGGGAAACGGAGGCCTTGAGAAGGGGAGAGAAGCACTCAAGGTCCTTAGCAAGTTGGTAGTAGAACCAGGGCCAGACTCCAAGTCTCTTGACTCTGGGCCCAGCACACTTTCTTCCTGGATCCAGGTCTCACGCTGCCTTCCTGGCAGGGCCAATTGTGGGTGCTGCCTCTTCTGAGAGGCCTCCCTGGGTTTCCCCCTGTGCAGAGGTGGTTCCTCCCATCTTAGCAGTCCTCCAGGCCCGTTGCATGTCTGCTCATTTGCCCTCAGCACAGGGTATTGTACCTATTGAGTAACCTCTTGGTGTCTCGGACCAGCAGGCTTTCCTTGAGAGCAAGGCCTGTGTCTGATTCATTTCTGTCTTCCTGGTACCTGCACATGACCTGGTTGGCGTAGGTGCTTACTAAGTCTGTATGGAATGAGTGAGAGAGAGAGGGAAGGAGAGAGAGAGGCAGGGAAGGGGAGGGAGAAAGAAGGAAGAAAGGAAGGGAAGGAGGGAGGGAGGGAAGATGAATTTGAGAGTGTGGTCCTGGAAGCGTGGAACATAAATGGCAGGAGTCAGAGGCAGATGGGAACAGCCACCATCCCAGACAGAAAAAAAGGAAGAAGGGCCATAGAAAGGTGCGTGTGGAGCCCACTGGGCCCACTGCTGCTGGCCGTGGTCCTGAGGGCCCGGGGAGCTGTCAGCCCTGACCTGTGTGCCCCTTCCCGCCCCTGACCTGCCTCCTTCCTCTCCCTCCAGGAGGAGTCCTGTGGGACCTGGAGAGCCCTCCTATGTGTGTGACTGTGGGGCCGGGTCCTGTCCGCACTCTGCTGAGCCTGGAAGATGCCGTGTGGGCCAGTTGTGGGCCCCTTGTCACCGTCCTGGACGCCACCACCTTGCAGACTCAGGTACTGGCTGTACCTCGTGGCTCATGGCCCCTGGTCCATGGGGCCACCTGCCTGGCTCAAGTTTGCTGACCCTTCCCACGCCCTCCCTGACACTACTCTTGGCTCCTAGCTGTGTCTTGGGGATTGACTTGATAGTTTGTGGGAAGCAGAGGGTGCCCAAGACCCCTGCTGGGCCCTGACCTCTGTCTGCAACACATATCCCCAGGGCTGCTGTGAGTGGAAGGAAGGGTCCCGCTGCCCTGGGTTGTGATCTGGATGCTGAGTTGTGTCTGCTGCTGCCTGTGGGGGTGGGGCTGGAGTCCCTGTCCTTGGATTGGTACCCAGGACTTATACCCATGAGTCCTAGCTTTGCTGGGGGTGTGGCCAGCATGGACACCGCCATCCTGGAGGCTGGGCTCTTTAAACACGTGGAGGAAGAGATTGCCATGCCTCAGTCCCCAGGATGAGAGCCTGGTCCTGGGGGCCTGTTCCTGGCTTGGCCTAGGCCTGTTCCTGTTGATGAATGACAGCAGTGCCCACCCTGCCTCACCACCCCACAGGCAGAGGCTTCTGGGAGCAGAGATGTGGCTGATGGCTATTGGGGAGGGGGTGTGAGCAGCAGGCCTTGGGGCCCAGAGCTGGCTAAAGCTGGGCCCCCATGTGGCCTTTCTCAGCCTCTCCTAGTGGCCCAGGAGCACTTGAGACTTTCTGGAAGGGGAGGAATGGGGAGGCACCATCCCCGGCAGCAGCTCCGACCCCTGTCCCGGCCATGTCCACCTCAGGTCGGCTGCGTACTTCAGCCCCTTGGAGGGGTGCAGGTTGAGAGCAGGCTGCTTCCAGTGGGACCCCGGCTCTGCCCCTGCCAAGCCACACAAACTTGGACAAGTCACTGAGCCTCCCTGGGCCTCAGTTAGTCATCTGTAAAATGGGATGACAATAGTGCTATGTAGAGTTACCAGGAGGACTGAAAGAGAACATTTATGAAGAAGGGCTGCCTCACACAGTGCCTGGCACATCGCGAGTGCTGGACGAGCATTAGTTAACCTTGTAATTATTTGCATAACCAAAATTCTCACTGCTGTTTATGTAGCTTATTTGGAAAATCAGGCGGCTCCCTTCGGGTTGGTGTTGTCAGTGGGTGTTGGGTGCGCGTGCATTGCGGGCCTTCTTGCTTCACTGGAAGAAAGGCTTCTTCCTGCTAACAGCTGTCCTAGGAGCACGAGACAGACAGACGAAGGCCAGGACAGGGGTCTGGGTCGGGCCCTGCCCTGTTCTCACCAGTATTTACCCCTTGCCAGCCGCAGTGCAGTCCTGCTCAGGCCCACGCGGCTCAGCTCTGGTGCCACCATCCCTGGGGCCCCCGCAGCCACCAGGCTCCAGTGCGAGGCTGCGACGATTTAAGATTAGTTCTGGACCAGCTGCTCTTAAGAAGAGGATCAATAGGGCCTTTCACCTGCTTTGCACACCTCTGAGGGCACCAGGAGGGCTGCTGGTTGGGGGGAGGCAGGATGGAGGGAAAGGGTGGCCAGGGATCCTCCGCAGCGGGGGCCAGAGGGAGCACGCACCCCTGTGCACAGCCAGGGAAATTGAAAAGTTTCTGTGCGCAGCGTGGTGCAGGCAGCTCGCCTTCAGCACACACAATCATTCGGCACAGTAACAAGGTGATCGCCATGCATATTTAATAAAGCCACGCTCCCGCTGCCTGAGGAAACTGGCCCCACCTTAGTGTTGGGGCTCTGGAAATGGCTCCGTCTGGCTGCCGCTCCTGGGCTGGCTGAATCCACACTTGCCTTGGCGCCCACTGCACGGCTAGCCAGGCCTGGCTGGAGACTGGGCTGCTGTCACTCTCTGTGGTCTGGTGTGTGTGCCTAGGGCTTAGCACCTGCAGGGCTGTGCCTCAGCAAGCAATGCTGCAGCAGAATGCCTCACTTCAGAGGGAGGACTTTCCAGAATCTCCCCCAGGCTTGAGAAACCCCCCTCTGGGGATTTGAGATTCTTAGAGCTATTCAGAGCTCCAAGCAAGGAGACCCAGGAGTGTATTGTTGGCTGAGGGGGCTGCTGGCATGGCCCAGGCCTGATGTGAAGACATAGGGTGTAAATCTAGGGACTGAGTTAACTCTAAGGAGCTTCTCCTGATTTCTCCCACCCCCAGGAAGTCATAGTAACCATCATATACTGGGTGCTTAGTTTGGACCAGGCATGGGTTTAAGCACTTTATATGTATAATCTCACTTAATGCCCAAACCACCCTATGAGATGAGTGCTATTATCCTTTCCACTGTACAGATGAGGAAACGGAGGCACAGAGAGGTTACGAGAGCTGCCCGAGGTCACAGAGCTAGGAAGAGTCGGAGTCAGGATTTGAGCACAGGCATCCTGAGTGTTAACCGCAGTGACGGCTGCCTTGGTAGGCAAAAAGCTCCATTCCCTTTGGACTGCATTGGTCTCTGCAGTTTTCTGTCCCCGTTGGATGTAACTCTGGGGAACTCCCATTTGGTTACGAGCCTGCTTTTTCCAAGAACACGTTTTCCAGGCCAAGGATCGTGCCTCGTTTATCTTTATTTCCCCACTGTCTAGCTCATTGGCAGCACACAGGCAGGTGCTCCTCAGTAAATAGTTGTGATGTACGGACGGACGGATGGGTGTACTGAGCATCTCCCATTTCCAGGCCCTCTGTGCAAGGTGCTGGAGGGATGGAAATGAGTGAGACTTGGTCTCAGCTCTTCAGGAGCTCGGAGTCCAGTCTGGAGAGACAGACCTGCCTGGGACTGTCAAACCTGGGAGGGGGTAAGCTCAGGTCTGCGGGAATCCAGGGGAGGCGGGAGGGGTGCCAGACCCAGCTGGAGGTCAGGATCCCTGAGCTAGGCTGGGCAGGTGACCGGGTCTGTGACAGGTGATGGAAGAGGGGAAGCAGATATTCCAGGCAGAAGAAAGCATCATTAGTCTAGCCCCAGCCAGAGACAGCCCGGTGCGGTGGGGGACAATGCGTGGGGGGACAGTTTCCCGGGGGACAGGGCCTCTGAGTGGGGGACAGTCTCCCTGAGGCTCACTTGGCCCATACTCTGCCCCTTGCCCAGCTGGTCCCTGCTTGGCTGCCCCAACCTTGCTGGCAGACCTGACTGGCACCCGCAGTCTGTCTCTGGGTTTTACGCTTGCCCGCCAACCGCTCGTTCAGCTCCTTGATCCCAGCGGAGGCAGAAGTGAGGCCTGTTAAATCATAATGTCGCTCACCAGGGCCCGTGTCAACACTGCATCCTCCGTGTTCATTATCTACACTGCCACCTTCAAAGTCTAATCCAGTCGTCTGGAGTTCATTTTAACCCATCGCTGGAGGGGGAAGCTGGCTGTGTGATGATCGTTGCATCTTAATTTTAAAAAACTTACTGGGGACAGGCTGACAGGAGACCTGCGGTGTGTAGGTGTGCTCT